TCTCTTTTTATTTACAAGTTTGTTTTTCAATTTGGTCCAAATTTGCAGCTTTCCAAACTTATTTAGTTGCAAAAAATTTAATTTTTCAGTGTATTTATACTTTTTTCGTGCTGATATTAAGTATATCAATCAAATTTAATTTTAATATTGTTGAAAATTATCCAACTACGCTATTTGTGTTACCCGATAGCTAGGAATTAATTTGATAGGTTAACTAGCAAAAAATTGATCAACATAAATAAACTTACTTTTATCAGAATTGATATTGTCAGCATTCATCTGTTTTATTCAATTTATTTTACAACCTATTCGACAGTTTCCCAGTCGTTAAGATTGGAATCGATTTGAGTGTCTCTTAATACATAATAGAGTGGTTCGTATAATGGATCCTGGTACAGAGGTGCAACAGTGACTTCATAAACGTTATTAGGTCTAATTTCACGTCGCAACAAATGCCAATGTGTAGACCTGAATGGATTATATCTCGGGTCCATTATGTCCAGCTCTCTTCATCGCTTCAACTGTTTTCAAACTGGATTTACATCGCGTTTCATCAACACTAGATACAGGGCTATTCAGCTATCTTTGCCGATGTTAAACGGCTATATCTTGTCCTGTGATTGACCTTGAGGCCTCAGATTTCTTATAAGAAAATTCCGCCGATACTTATTTGCTATATTTCAAGGTCAAAGTCATTCAAGGTCATTTGTCGAAAACTAATATCCAGAGTTATCCACATTTTAATTTGAGAATCGGTAGAATCGCATTTTCTATGAAAAGTGCATAGCTTATGTCTCTTATCCAAACATTGGGAGGATATAGCGAACTGAATGCGATTCTTAGGCAATTCAATGTTTTACAATATTTCTTATCTATGTGTCATGATAAAAATTGGCGAGACCCAGAAAATGAGAAAAATCTTTACTAAATATGAATATCCAGACGAAGTTTTGGATTTCGGAACCATCCGAACTCGGATTATGAGCTCTGGAAATCGTGCATTTTATGTGAATTAAATTCTCAAATTAAAATGTGGATAACTCATGAAGCACGTATGTAAGAGTGACGCGACTGAACCAGCACGATTATTAGAGTTTGAAAATTATCATGTGCCCTTAGTTTGACCTCTAATATTGTTAGGAGCGATTTCCGACAAATGACCTTGAATGACTTTGACCTTGAAATATAGCAAATAAGTATCGGCGGAATTTTCTTATAAGAAATCTGAGGCCTCAAGGTCAATCACAGGACTAGATATAGCCGTTTAACATCGGTAAAGATAGCTGAATAGCCCTGTATATTTTTCGATGGAGAGTAGATGTATGCGAAATTGCGATTTGATTTTTCCTTTGTATTTAGTCCTCAATTGACCAAATCTGCTTGAATAAAACCATTTTATAAACCAGAAACGCAAGAACGAATGATTTTTTAGATTAAATTAACCGAATTTATCGAGCCGCAGATGCTTGAATTACAGAAACATTTGAAAGCATTATGAATTAATATAAAAACCCAAGAACTAAAAATCGCGTCAGAGTTTCGGCCTCATACCTGATAAAGCAATCGAATGTATTCGTAAAAAAACTTTTCTATTTTTTCAAGCTATAGTCAAGCAGAAAATTTCAGGTGCTATCCAGATTTAGATGTAAATGTCAATATCAATTTAATTGATATAGTTTTTAATCAAAAGTAAAAAATGCATCAACTGACAAATTCAGTTCATGGTAATCAATGCATAGTGTTGTCTTTCATCAAATTCTGAGAAAATGCTTCGATAAAGTACTACTGTTTCGACCCCTTAACATTTCTAATTAACTTTTTCATTCCGTTTCTTACAGTCTTCTGATAAATCGGTACCTTATGCAATTGGTTATATACTCTTTGTGTGCTCATCAATTTCAATCGTCCTTCTTCTTACAACAATGTTCATATTTCTCCACTTCAAGTGAGTTTTCATCAATCGCTTGAATTACTCTTTTCAATTCAACTTTTTTTCTCGCCATCTCTGTTTCTCAATTTTCAACTTTTCACTTTTCATCACAATGGTTTGGTAAAGGAGACTCGAATGTCCAAGACTTCGAGTTCATCGTAACCTTGTATTTGCCTTGATTATCCACTGTGTCTCTCTACTGATAATATCTTCGTCCATTGTGTTTGACGGCCAATTCAATTTTACAAAAGAAAATGTGAGTCGAAAAGAGAAAAGAAACAAATTGAACAATCAAAGAAAATTATTTAATACAAAAATTTTGCAACTATCAATTTCTTCTCAGCCCATTCTGTGTAAATTGGTATTGTCACTTAAAATGTATTCTGCTCTTGCATCCATCAATTGGATGTTCATTGAAGGACTTTTACTTCACAGTCGAGTTACAACTGGAATTTTCAGGAAAAGTTTCCCTTTTAAACTATACTACGCCATTGGCTGGGGTGAGTTGAATGTTGACAAAATTGATTGTTGATGTTGATGCCTAATGACAAGTAGATGCAAATTTCAGTCCAAAGTAATTATTTCATCGATATCAATCATCATCAACTTTTAATTGAATTAATTGTTGCATGAACAAAAAGGAAAAAAAACTTTTCTTTTTCATCTCTTTTTTTCTATTTGCAACTTTCTATTCCTTCAAGGCATTCCACTTTTCATCATTTTGACATGGGCTTACATAGTCAATAAAACGTTGCACTCTCGATGCTGGGAAGGTTATGGTGATCGGGTTACAATATGGATAATCACAGCACCAATGATTCTTGCATTACTGGTAAATGTCGCAACAAATGCTACCCGAAACCCAAAAAACTTTACCAGAAAATTTTTAACTTTTTTCCTTCTTCTTTTCGTTTCAACTTTCGTTTTCAGATAAACTCGACTTTTTTGGTAAACATTATTCGCATCCTTGTTACCCAATTGAGCCGTAATCGATCAGAGGAAACTAATAAGATCAGGTGATTTACCCATTAATATAAAGCAAAGTGGTGTATCAACACTACTAAATCGATGAAACAATTAAAGTAATTGAATGTTGATGCAAGTTTAAACATTCATGTCAAGTGCAACTTTTTTTATTCTTTTGCTTGACCTTTTCCAATGTTTCTCAATGCTCTTCACGATTAGCCAAACGAACGAATGAATGCACTTGGCTTGATTTAATCAACGTAATTATCGATTGTTACAGTTGAATATCAGTTTACTTTAACCAATTTTGATAGCAGTTTATAGTGATACAATATTATATTATTTACTCTTGGAAAGCCTCTTGACCACTCTTGACCTGAAATCTGATTCTCTAGTAAACAAACATCTTGATACTTCATTACTTTTATTGGTTCAACATGTTGATAAACATTGTTATTAATTAAAATCAATTTTCTTTCCCATCTTTTGGCCTTTTTTTTTCTTCTAGCAGAAAAGCACTCAAAGCAACAATATTGTTGTTTCCTCTTCTGGGAATCACTCATCTCTTGTTTTGTTTCAATCCAAAGGATAACAAGCAGCTAGAGATGGCTTATATGATAACTAATGCCATTCTTCAATCGTCTCAGGTAAAAAGAGTTACACTAAAATCGAATCCGTTTTTCGGAATTTACAAAATTTTAAAGAATTACTTGATTGCAAAGTTGTAAATTGAGCAGAGAAAACCTTATTGCAAGAAATTAACTTTTAATTCCTAAATTGTTGAATCAAGTTTGGGTTCTAAACAGCAAATGTGTCACTAGATGGCATTGTTGTTCTGTAATGAAGCTCCATCTATCAAGTTTCATGGGAACGATCAGAATTACACTCGAATCAGTTTGAATAGGAAACTTTTCCAAGTGAATTGGTCAACATTTAGGAAAAAAAGTTAATCTGCTTAGGGTTTTGAAGATGAATTAGATTTTGCAAATTGAAAAGAAGTTAATTCAGGACTATTCAGGACTTCAGTTGAATTGCAAATTTAACAAAGAGAAAAATCATAACAATTTTCAAGAAGAACGTAAATTCATTGAAGCGGCATGAAGTATTTTGTTAGATTTTCATGTTAATATTACTCTACTGTGCAACACATTTCCAAATCATTTTGAAAACGGATTAGTATAAACCAAGTTAATTAAAGTTCGAACAATTCACTCTGGCAATCGTTTATAAGTGACTGTAAAATCCCTCGATTCTCAATCATTATCATTGCGTTTCACTGAATTCTCTAACGGATAATGAAAATTCTATTGATCACAAGGCAGATCACAGTGGAATGAAAACATGATTTCCATTGAGCTCATTATATCCATAATAAATAACAGTTTGAATAACTTGATTATTTGCAAAATATCTCGAATTTTCATGATCAACCCACCATATGGATAACATTATGAAAGGAAAATCAATCAAAAAAAACTGCTGAATCATTTCACTCCATCAACGAACTTAATCTGATATATTCAGTCTTCGATGTTATTAGCGGTTAAACCTAGAACCTTGTGGAGATTGATTGATTTTTTGCTCTTTGAATAGTTTTGTTCAATGTTCTGACATCAAAATATGAATTTCCTAATTAAGTTGCTTGACTAAAGCTTCATAAATAGGGAAATATTTTCATGAT